ATCCTGCGGGCGGGGGGGGGGGGGTTTGGGGTGGGGTGCAATTTCTATTACATGTCACTGCATATTATCATGTGTCATTACATACAGTATCAGCAAATCTTATTATGGATCATTACACAGTATTACACATCATTAATACTACTATGATTACATATTTCTACATTGATTCCTACTATTATTGCAAACACAGTTCTTGTTCCTCCTATCTTCCGCTATCAAGTCCTTTGTCTGCAAACGTTGTTATCCCAGGCTGTGGCCGCCGCCTCCTGCGCTGCTTCCAGGAACTTGCGCATGTCGTCACCAGCGCCGCCTGTTGCTGCAAATGTTGCGCCAATCTGTTGCAAGGTGAAACCCCAAACCCAAGCACTGCAATTGAAGTAGTACAAGAGCAAGATGACAGCTCAAATATTGCCAACGGCCTTCCAACCGTGACGCAAGGAGTCCAAAAATCATTAGGCTTGTACGACCCATCGCCTGTGGTCTTCTTGGTGTTGGCTCCTGTGTGTTGAGCCTCGGGGCCTTCATCGAAGCGCAGATCCTCAAACGACTTGAATTTGGGAAGTTTCCCGTCTCAGCGCATGCTGCCTTTCAGGCTGGGCAGAATGAACTCAGGTGCAGGCTGCGCCCGTGTCATCACAAATCCTGGGTTGCTGTTAAGGAACCTAATTTAAGTTACTATATTGGGGAAACCCTATTATCTACTATATATACCGGTTATGGTAACTTATTCCAAGTTCCTTAACAGCAACCCAGAATCTGGCGGATGCGCTCCCCCTTCTTCCCGATGATCCGGCCCACCAGCTTGACTGGCACGTCGACCCATTCCTCCAAGACTTCGAGTCTTCACGAACTTGCAGCAATAATCAAATGAAAAAGCCAGAGCAGAAAATGAAATTGAGACGAATTACTCTATATTATTGTGTAGGTATATATAAGGGTATGGAGGAGAGCAGTGCTTCCCACTAGTCACTGGCTGGAATTTGCTGGCTCAGCGTCCTCCACCTCTGCCTGCTCATGTTCTGGATCCTGATCTTTGCCAGTATCCTGGTCCACTCCGCGAGAGTCCACAATGACCATGCCGGCTTCGATTCTGACGACCTGACCGCAAGTACAGCCGGCCATGAATGATCACATTTGGCAGTTTCCCTAAATAGGGGGAACCCGATATAGACCCCAAATATTACAGTGCTTATAATTAGGACCCCACAACATGGTTCCTCTAATTTTGGGAAACCCTCATTCCCTAAGGGTCCAAGGACCCAAATAATAGGATTTTAGGGCCCAAATACTATAACATTAATGGTATTTGGGCTCTAAAACCGTATTATTTGGGTCCTTGGACCCTTAGGGATTTGGAAGCTATGAGATCAGCGGCCTTCACGTACAGCTTGGCCCCAGGGGTGACAGGACGCTCATCGCTCCGTCGCCGCAGCAGACCTTCCACGTAACCTGTGGGCTTCTGGGTATGGCACTGGTTCTTCTGAGCCAGGGAGGGCTGTACTGCTTTCCTCGACACTAACGTTGGGCAAGTGCGTTCATGATTGCTTTGGTGTCTGCGAGCCTGACTTGAGGAATTCGGAATGACTATGGTGCTGTTAGATGCTCGACTCTCAGGGCATATCCAATCTCGCAGTGAGCCATAGGACCTACTGTCACTGCTTGTGTTCTGGCCCAGTGTAATCCTTCATGAAAAGGCTAGCAGCAAAAGATCACAAACAACCAGCCATTCCTCAAATTGAGGTTGATGGGACATTGAAAACACAACTCGAAACAGTGCCTTCAAGAATCTGATCCCCGCTTCATCTTCGAGAAACGTTGTGGCGAATCGTCAGTGAGCGCCACCAGGGCCCCTTTCGGCGTGAGAAGCATCACCTCGCCTGACTTGAAGTTGCAGCAGCAGAGAGATTGAGAAGCTCAGGGTTTATCGCGCCTGTCATCACGCAGTGCAGCGTGGGAATTGTCGGTGCTGCCGTGATCTGAGGTGGCATCGGCGCACCTACTTCGTGAGTGGCTGGCTTTTGGCAAAAGTCTTTCTCACATCCTGCCTGGCTTGAACACGGAAGTCTTCGATGGCGCAGGCATCGCGTGCATAGGGGGCATGGCGTGCGGCATTGGCCATGCGTAAGGCCAGGGCCTCAGGCTTAGACATCCACGCCTGCACTTCCCGCTTTGAGGCGGATGGCCAGCTTTTGAGTCCCCGGCATGGTCGCTTGCGATTGGCTCATCTCCCGTCTCCGAGGACGGTCCCTGCCAAAGATGAGGAAAAGCAACGTAGTTTAGCTTGGCACACACTGTCCCTCAGTCCTGTGCGACTTGTGCTTTCGACCTTTTCCAACTCTGTCAACCACAAGACATAGGTTCAGTATATGCACAGCTGGGAGAAAACTCACCGAACCTTCTTTTTCATCCTTACGCTCTTTCTTTTGCTTCTTCTCCTACACTGGAACTGGTCGGGAATTCTTTCAAACATCGCATTCAAACAGTTTGAGTGTCATAGGCCTTCTTGGACTTTCGGTGCACGTCTGCCGACACTGCTCTACCTGCACTGGGCTCGAACAGCTAGCAAGCATTATGGCGGAGTCCGCCACCAGCTTCTGCTATGAAGTTGATGGACTCCGAGAGAGATCGAGGAAAACCTGAGGCTCTTCTGCCTTCTCGCCGCTTCTTTCGGGGCGGCTCCTCAAACTCTGGGGAGGGTGTCTGGAGCCGAAGCGCCTCGGCCTGCGGCAGCTGTGGCCGTATGTTTCCCGACTCTTCGACTCGGTTTTCATGAAGCTTCCAGCCTCTTCGTACAGCTGCTCCTCAGAATCCTGCAAACGCTGCCTCTACGACTCTACAAGTAGATGATGTCAGAATTCCGCTCCTCATCCTCCTCCTCGCTGGGGGAGGGCGGAGGCGGCGGCACCTTTGGCCGCTGCCGCGGCATGCGGAGAAGCCCGGCTTTGAAGCAGGCCAGGCTGGGATGTCGTGGTGCTCACATGTATGGATGGGTGCTTAGATCATCCTAAGCAAAACAAGTATATTGGGGTTATATGGGGATCATGGAAAAGAAAATGGAAACTGAGGCCGGCCGGTTTACGTAAAACGTGTATGTTGTCCATATCCATCTGCTAAAAAGCCATCGATGGCCTTGGGCCGAGTACGCCATGGAAAGCAGTCTTTGGTGCATCTCAGGGCTGCTCGCTGCTGGGCATAACAACATCCTGTTCCACCAGCAGCTTGATTCAAAGCAGCTCGCAGTGAAAAAGCCAACCCCTTTTTGTTGAACCATCGCACGACGCTTCGCCTCAAAGCTCAAGCTTCGATTCACCTCAGCCAATGGTTCTTGGGTACAGAGCAGTGACCGGATCTGAGACTCCTTTTCCGGATATCTCATCCCAGTGGGCAGCTAGGGAGAAGACGACGAGGATGTTAAAGGGAAGCCAAGAGGAAGAGCCAATGCGTGAAGCTGCTTGGTGCATACTTCGCACGTTTCATATCAGCGCTCGTCCCTAACAAGGAAGGGCTCATCTTTGTACACCAAAATATTTGGATCCCTGAAAGGGAGCCAACAAATGCCTTACAGTCTTGAAGCGACCCTCCTTCTTCCAAGGCTGAACATCCTAATCCCACTGGTTTGCCAAATGAGTAGCGTTGTTTTTGGTGGTTGAGCCTAGTAAAATTATCTTCCTTCTATAAAATACTATACCTCAAAGGGGGATAGAATCTTACTCTACATTGGGCACCATAGTATCCCGGAATAAAATACTACTCAAATAGCCTTTGTCGAAGTTGGCACTGCGGGACTGGAAGTCCAGGAAAACGGCCTGGACTTCTTCCGGCCTCCTGAGATGAGAGAGACCCTTTGGTTATATAGATACATTAATGATATATTGGGGTTATATAGGGAAAATGGAAAAGAAAATGGAAGCTACTATAGGTTTAGGGTTTAGGGTTTGGGGTTTAGGGTTTAGTTTTTAGGGTTCAGGGCTTAGGGTTTTTAATTGCCCAGATAAGTAATGGACATGGGTTCCTTGTTAGGGAATCTGCCAGGGATTATACTAAGCTACAAGAGGGACCCCTATGTCCACTTGGTAAGGCGAATCTTGACAGTAACTCATATGGGGATTCTATCAGAGCCTTATATGGATCATATACAGGGATATGGCCCCAATAATGCAGATTGAAATGGAACATGACATGGAACATACAATGAACATTTTGGTGTTTTAGTGATCTAATGTTTTTGCGATTGAAACAAAACTTTGGTTAATACGTAGTGATTACGTAGGGATTTTATTACAGGGTTATGGGGGATTAAATCAGGTCATATTATATAGGACCTAGGGATATCATTCCAAGTACGAATGTATTCTCACTTTGAAGCTCTACACTTACACCCGGAAAGTGGATGTAGACACGATCTTACTCTACATTGGGAATCATCGTGCTCCCATAAAAATACTAGAGAGAGTGACAGCTTGCTAACCTTATTAGTGACCTTCGCGACAACTCCTTACAGGCCAGCGGCGCAAGCCCATTGTCTGCATGGAAATCCACGGGTGCATAAGATGGTGGCTGGGCGTCTGAGCTCCTGGTGTCAATTACTGGGGGAGTGGGGGAGTGAATGTAGGTACTACTACAGCATATTATACTGGGACCTTCCAACACCCTTAAGTAAGCACGAGTACGGCAATGGCATCGAAATCTGGATGCAGCATACGCGAAGGACCTTCTGACCCTGATCCAAGGACACCGTCATTTGCCACCTGGGTATGTATAGCGCCCAAGCAGAGACCCTGTAAAACAGTTGTTGGCGCCTATGTATCATAGCTTTTTTGAATACACGGCAAGCTCCTGTCAGCCAGACGCAGCGCGTGTTGGTACACGTCGTGCCAGTAGCGGAAAGCTGCCTTCAGCAAGCTGACAACAGGCTCTCACGACATTGGAACTTGCAACATTATGGATCTCCTGTTAAATACGGGCTCTAAAATCTAGGGTAATTATCCGATATTTCCCCAACACCCCACTAAACCCTAAACCCAATATCCCAAGAGGGACCTGCCAATCTGAACCCTTGGCCTTGTAGCAGCGAGGCGAATCAATCCGCCCAGGTGAGTCCCGGTCCTGTCTAAAGTGGAAGGGGAACATAGGGTTTAGGGTTTAGGGGATATAGGACATACATATGTATATATATATACACATACATATATAGGGGTTACATAAGGCTCAGGGTTTGGAGGTTACGTATAGGCATAGTATCCCCTAGCAATGGAGAATTAAATAGAAAACAAAATCGAGCATCAAGAAAAGCTGAGATTATATGGTGGTTAATAAAGATTCTGCTTTCCATAAATAGAGGTACCTTGTTCGGGGGTCCCTATACTGGGGGTTATCGGTTATTGTATTTGGGGGTCCATATTTTGAGACCCCCCATTTACGGAATTACCCAATGTGCCCTGTACTTGGCTGCAGCATGCGCTGGGGATCGTGCGATGACTTACTCACCATAATGCCTTTCGTGGGAAGAATGCCCATGACACGGCATCAAAGGCACCGAATCATGAAATGTGACAATCAAGACTCCTTCGCCAAGGTCTCGAAGTTTAGCCAGTTGTTGGCAAAGTGAATGATGCGAGCCTGCAGCCCAAAAAGGGAAGATTGCTCTGCTCGACAAGAACCAGCTTGGCAGCAAGTGATCCTTCATTTGCATATTCTCATGTGGAATTCCTTGCAAGGGTTCGCTTAGTGTGGGAAATATAGGGTTGTCGTGCCGCACCCTTTCCACGCCACTGTCGTGGACCTGGTGTTTCAAGCCCCTGTTGCGGCATAGCACTTCTCACTCAGCATTAGGACAGGTTTGTCGCGGCTTCCTTTCATAGAATCTGTCTGTTAGCACGGTACGTCGCGGAGAGCACGCCCGAGACTGCTACAGCCTGATGGTTTTTGTGGATGCCGCGTTATGGCATTTCAGGGCGTGGCCCATGAAAATGCAGTCCCAAATCCAAGCCTTTTTGTTCCAGCCTTTAATCATCCCTTCGCCCAAACCTTGAGCATGATGGCGTCTGGGGGGTGCTGAATTTCATGCGGTGAAGTTATGGTGCCTTAAATGCCCAAAACGGTGAACCAAAGTTCCTGCCTTGTCCACCCTCTTGCGCTCACCAGGCAGCTCACATCCTGGGTTCTGGATAAGGAACTTAGCTTAAGTTACTAAATTGGGAACCAATTTAAGTTGGGAAGCCAATTTACAATTGGGAAACCAATTCAAATTGGGAAACCAATTTAATTACTATATAGACCCATTATGGTAACTTAAGTTAAGTTTCTTAACAGCAACCTAGCATCGCTCTTTGGCCCGGTAAGAAACCACAAGGTTGTACTCCGTGGACATCAGCCACTTCTCCGGGCTCTGACGGGAGGATCTTCGCAGGTCCTGCACGCAAACCCTGCCCTTGGGATTCAAGTTGCTTAGGCTGCTCTTGGATACTATAATAAGGAAACCCTGTCATCTACTATATACCCATACTATAGACTCACTTAAGTTCCCTGGATTGAAATCGAAAGCTTTCAATAATCAGGGGGCTGAGAAGGTACCTGCCAGATCCAAGGATTTCCTACGGGGTGGCCCCAAGGGCGGAACGGACAAATCCTCCAACTGCCCACTCAGTATTTCCCCCCAAATAGGGGTCCCCCTTCGTTGAACCCTACAACTGTAATACTTACGGTACGCACTCCGGCGATAGCCAGCTAAAAACACCGAAAGTCACTTAGCACCTCGAAGAAGTAGACCTTCTGCGTCTCAGCCAACCGCCTTGCAAAACTCTTCATGAAGAGTCAAGTCAAAAACGTGGCTTCAAGTATAACCACACAACCTCCCTCGCATGGTCAACCAATGATAGCTGCTTGCAGACAACAGGCCCTGCCACCAGGGTCTGGTCACAAAGCCCCACTTCATTTGCCCTCCTTGCGAAGCAAGTAGGTTGGGGTGCCAAAGCTCTAGTTACGGTAGTTACGGACCACAGATCCTCATGATGCAGAAGTGGCTCCGTTTGTTATACCGACGTAAGTCCTCACGGGTGGCTTGCGTCAGCAAAGTGACTAAGTCTCTGTGGATTGTATTGTTGGGCTTCAGCAAGATGACTCCGTAGTTGAAAGCGTCCGCCAAATCCTGAAAAAAGGTTCGATACTGAGCAACGTGCGGTGAGCTCATGGCATCGTCTTCTGAGAAGCAATATGCTTTTTAGAAACATGCAGCGAAGGTACTTTGGAAGCACTGATTGGCGCTTGCTTCCTCAGCTGCCAAAGCAGAATGAGCCGCAACAGCGAAGACACTTTCAAAGGGCCCCTATAGTAAATAAGGACTACCGACAAATGTTCTTGCAGGTTATCCGCTTGGAAGCGCGCCCCGGCATACCCTCACACAAGATTGGCAAAAGCATCTTGTCTTTATCCAGACCCCTGATCAATCAACTCCCTCCCCTTAATAGGGATTACAAAAGGGATACGAATATTCAGGCCCTTAAAAGGAGGGGGCTTATTAATCATGGCTCTACATTAAACCCCCAAACCCTAAACCCTAAATAGTACCTTCCATTAGCCCCTTTAGCCGTGCTTCAGGAGGCCTTGCAGATCACCTTTGACAAGCACGTCGCCATCCAGGAGGAGCACCTTCCTGATCACAACAGGTTTAGGGTTTAGGGGTTTAGGGTTTAAGGTTTTGGGGTTTAGGGCTTCAGTGTTTTAGGGTTTAGGGGTTTAGGGTTTAAGGTTTTAGGGTTTAGGGCTTTAGTGTTTTAGGGTTTAGGGTTTAGGGTTTAGGGTTTAGGGTGGCAATTGTCAAGATGACCTTAGACGGGTCTGAGCAGAGGTTCTTTCGCCAGTGAGTCAACTGATTCGAGACGAAGATCT